AAAGAGAGGTCCGTGCACAAGGCCTAACTGCATCAAAATACAGAGTATTTACCCTAAAATAACGGTCCCCAGAGACCCCCCAACTAGCTCCAACAGTCATGGGTCGAAAGACCAAGAAACAAAAGGTGGACAAACTGAGAATGGGAGCAACCATAGGGGATATATGGCGACAGGCACATGGGGCCTCACAGCCCCAGCTGTCACACTACCTAGGAGAGATCTCCGACTTCTCCATGACCAGACCTTGGGCACCCGATCCATGGGCACCAACTTCACCCACTGCACTTACTGCTCCCAAAACGGACGCATTGACGGTAACCAAGTCGGATATGCAGGAAATGCTGGTGGCCTCAGGCGCAATATCCATGCGGATGTAGCTATGCTCCGAAAGGACCTGCTTGGCCTGACAGGCCACATGGGCACTCTTGAAGAAGATTCCTGCACCACCATGTTAGTCACACTAATGATATTTAACCATGTTTTATTAAAATGTTGAATTGTTCATAAAGCGCTTAATGATTGTAAGACGCTACTCGCCTAATTGCTTACTGAGTGCATGTGATCCGCTTTATACCACTACGATGAACAACTAAAATAAAGAATTAAAAAAAAAAAAGATAATTTTATAGTGTTAATATTATCCCCTACTATTCCCCACATATAGTTTAACCCCTTCCCGACCGTGGACGTATCATATATGTCCAATATTTTGAGTGCTGGAAGCGATCGTGATCGTTTCCAGACGCTCTGATAGTATTGCAGCGATACCTCGATGTCGAGGCATCATGCAATACCTCTCATTTCTGCCAGGCAGGCTTCCGATGCTCTGCCTGTGCTGAGTGTCTCAAGGGGTCGAGGCAGTAAAGAACTATATATATAAAAAATAAAAAAATAAATAAAAATAAAATAATTGCTTCCATGTGGCTCCCAAGATGACGCGGCCTTTCTAAAGGCAGTGCATCATGTGGCTTCTGGGGGTGTCCCTAGCCTGCCTCATCATAGAGACAGATTAGGGACATCCAATCAGAGCTTGGAACCAGAACTTTTTTGTGAGACCCAAAAGCTCTAAGAGCTTTTAACCCCTGTCTTGCCAGTGATCACTGTTTAGATCACAGGCTCTTGCACAGCATCACTTATTTTGCTGTATGTGCATTTTTGTAGGGGTTAATTTTTTTAGTAAGATATTATGTTGTCAGCGCTTAGGGAATAATCCCCTTAGATACAATCAGGGGTAAATATCTCTTCGGGATCGGATCCAAGGTCATAGATCGACTATTATAGCACTTAGATTTTTAACTTTATTTCCTATCACTAGGAGTAAAGTGTCATTTGCAACTGTAGTTTAATACAGTTTGTCAGTTATCACAAGTGTATCGGTGTGGCAATAGATACAATATTTCAATTATAAGGACCATATAAATTGTTATATTGTACTATACTAAACAACTAATTCAGTATCTAGATACCAGTTCATCTATAACTGGAGTAAAGTGAATTAGCTTACATATATAGACCTCCAACAGACTGTTATCTCTTTGATTCTAAATCAAGGACTGTTATATATTGGAATCTACTAATCTAAGTTTCTTTTATAGAAGAAGTAACCATTGGATGTCAATGCTCCATTTTAGTCAATAATTTTCCTTTTTTTACTAAGTTTATGGAACATTACTAGTTCATAGCTATAGACTACTCCTGGATATTTTATTAAAATTTTTTTAATAATTTTTTAACATTCGACTATTATGACTGCCTTTAGAGACCAGAAATCTGATAAACGGGTTGCGAAACATTTCCTTCAAGCAACACACAGACTTCCTACACTGAGATTAATAGCCATCGACCACGTTCCCCCCAGCCCCAGAGGGGGTGATAGATCTAAATTGTTACTCCAACGAGAAACATATTGGATACATCGTCTGGATACAGTTACTCCCAAAGGACTGAACGAATACATTTCATTCTCTATGTTCCTTTGAATAATATGCACTGGATCTTACTAGGGTCTATAGTATTAGTTTAAGCATGTATATATATATGTTATGAGGCATTGGTTTTCAGATAGTGTTACTATTTCAAATGACTTAGGTATATGGTTCATTAACTCTATTGGTTAATAACTTTGATATAAAAGTCTGCACTAATCTTTGCAGATTGGCGATGTGAGTTTTGTGCCGTTCGTTCTTTATACACTTTTATCATGTGGCACTATATTTTCACATTATTCACTTTTTCTATGCACGGCACTTTAAGAGATCGTGTCACTTTGACACTTCGGCACAATGTCTCATATTTCCATTCTAATTACCTAAAGATTTAGGGGTCTTCCAATTTATCTTATTTTCAGATTTGTTTTTAATTCATACAGTGATCATTCTTAGGGATCACTTAACACTTGGTTGTTGAATTTCACATTTTAGTATAACTACAGGCACTGCGGTCACGTTGGTTGTTAGATCCGGATTAATTACATAGTATACACTTTATCACCTAGCAACCACGTTGTACGTGTAGACGCACGCCGGGGAAACTACGTGGGTTTCTGTGACACTTCCGGGTTTGAATGGGCTGCCGCACACACGAGATTGGTGAGTTAACATCTCTCCCTTATATTTAAACTGTGTTTATTTCACTAGTTAGTTGATCTTGAAAAAGACCCTGAGGGGTCGAAATGTTGATTAGGATGTTTTACACTTTGTTGTAAACTTTTTTCACAATAAATACACTATAGAGAAGTCCTTTTGAGTGCTCCATTTCATTGCTTGATCTATCTATCTATATATATATATATATATATATATATATATATATATATATATATATATATATATATGTAGAAAGGCCATTAGGCCTGAATTTGTGGGAGGAGTAAGTCCCCTACTTAAACTCCCAGCCCCTACTCACCGCTGCCGCTCAGCTGATTGTCCTTAGCAACCAGCACTTCCGGTCCAGCTTCCCGCCAGAACTGTACCTGTTTCCAGCAGCCAGACGCCCTGTGCAATCCTCCGTCCGTCCGAGGTCCTTCCACTCCGTTTCTCTCCGGTCGAGGTACCCGACTTCCGGTCACGAGACCGGCGCGTTCACGTAAGCAAGGCGGGGGAATTAGCGTTCGCTATTTCCCCGCCGTTCGGGCCTAAAAACGTAGGGGTAGGCTCCCTCCTTTCGCATTTTCACGAATACACGCTTTTCGTGAATATCTCCATTCGCGCCAAAAAACTCACGAACGTTCGGCTCATTTCGCTATCATTTAAAGCATTTTTCGTACGGAAACTACCGAATATATATTTCATGTTTAAGCTCATTATTATCTGTATTCACTTTTCTGTTCGGTCATTTCAGCACCTAACTATTCGTATGGTAAAATTCACGAACACCATCTTACTAATTTACATTCGGTTATTTCTATTTCTTTTAAGCTAAGCTTGCATTAGTTCTAATCACACTATCCTACTATTATTTTTTCCTTCTTATCAGTTTAGTTACATTATCTGGTTAACTACCAGCCCTGTGTTTTCCTACCTGGTTAAACCATTTAAAGTATTTTTCTGTAATAAACATAATATTTTACCATGGTTCATAACTTCATACGTGCCTAAATACAAGCTATACCATTCTTTCCAAATAACACTCAGATAAATCATTTGAACTCTATTTACAATTTATACCCATTACACATAATCCGTACTATTCCTTGCACATAAATCACGCTGTCACGTTTTGGCTTTTACAGATTGCATCGGTCTCTTGCTTTTCTGCGTAAAGTTATTTAAAGGTCCTTTTATTACAGGAACAGGTATGGTTTATTATCACCTTGAGTTATCAGGTTTTATCTACTATCTTCACATCTATTGCTAAATATGGAATTTGTCTTGGTTAAACCCTTAGATCCTGTATTTATCTAAGCTTCCACCGTTTCTACACAGTTAACCTGCCACGATTAAACAATCTCTGTACTTAAAACCAAGGTATAGTTCACTCTCTTTACAATACTAGACCTCACGCGGTCTCAACTCCATTTACTACCTTCCCTCAGGCTTACGCCCAGGTTACGTTACCTCTTTACTACTTGTCTACACAGACTTTCGGTCATACGGCCATCAGGCTCAGAAGACACCAAAACCTGACCCGGTACTCAGCCATACCTTCAGGTACTTACGTCCTTACTCAAGTACGTCCATTCGCTACCCAAAGGCCTCATTCTGCCTTCTCACTCATATCCAAAATCATCCCATTCCTACACCTTTATCCTCCCAGATCCCTCAATGCAGGATCTCACGTGGTGCCCCTAACAAACCTTCTCCCAATACTATTCATACGACATCACGATACGTATAAACACATCAACATCTGTCTTAAACCCCCAGGATTCTTCCTCAAAGACAACATTAAGACAAGACTCTCTACATTTATCAGGAGGCTCCAGATACCATTCGCGACCAGGCAAGGTTAGTATCCGCACACCACTCCAGTCCTCTAACTTTACCCTTAAGCATACAATCGAACTGGCTATACGGCACAGGCTAATGCCTTAGCCCACCCTATCAGGAAATCCGACACCGCAAGGCCTTCCACCCCCACTCCACCTCAACACGGAGGTACGGCCCCACACCCAAATCATAGTTATAAGCCTCGCATGCCTTACTACAGGGCTCTAGTTAGGGCCTCACCTGTCACGGCCACACGTTTTGATTTCTCTTATCGTCACCGAGAGGCCAACATCCCGCCACCACGTCTGTGGCTCCTACGTCATAAGCCAAATCATAGGTAGAGCCTCTCACCGCCACTTGGCATTAGCAGGGCCTCACCTATCCAGTCATTCATAGTTAAGTTTTTCGCCTCGGCATCTAGTATCAAAGTCCAGTTCTTCTAGACATACCACGCCCCATACCCCCCCTTCTTACCTCACTCCCTTTCTTATATATCTTTCACATAATCATTCCTTTTTAGAATGTCCCAAGAACCAATTCCAACCGAAGAACCGATAGAAGAAACACCTTTCACGCCAATCAGACCTGTGTCTCCAGGCGAATCACTTACGCTTTCAACCCCCACGTCCTTGAGAGCATGGACTATTCCCAAAATCACGGCCGAGCTTAGGCTCAGGGGAATCCCCTTTCCGGCCACAGCTAGAAAGGCAGAACTTTACAGGCTGCTTACCCAACAAGTCCCCGAGCCTCGGCCGGGAACTAGCTCTCAAGGACAACCACCAAAAAACAGCACGGCAACCCAGGATACCCTGGCAGATATCTTGGCCAATCTACAGACCCTCAATAGCAGGCTGTCTAAGGTGGAGTGCGCCATCTCCTCCTCAGGTACTAACACCGTAGTCCCAGTCTCTACCACTGCTGTACCTGCCATACCTACATGTCCCGCTATA